TATATATATATATATATATATATATATATATATATATATATATATATATATATATATATATAGAATGTCCCAAAAAATGTTCGCCGATGTAGCAGGCTTATAAACTTTGTAAGAGATTGACGCCAATTTTTATTGACACGTTGACCGCTATGAGGGTCGCCAGTGGCCATAATATTGTCTGACTAATTTATGTAGAAAACGTGACCAGTTGCATATATATAAAGGATTAAATATATATGAGCAGCTAATGAAACGAGCCAATGAATATAGATGGCAAGAATTGCACTTATTTATTGCACTTTGGTGGATTGTTGAAACTTTATTTGAAACTACCCGACGTTGCCCGGGTCATCACAAAGTGTGAAAAGGATGAAATCAGAAGAAGGGGGTGGGGTGTCAGGTTTCACGGTAGCCTATATTTTCCACAGGGTCTTAGGAAATAATTGTAAAAAATTTGGTCTAGATCAGTCAAAGGATTTAGAAGCCTATGGAGAACATACAAACAGACAGAGAGAGAGACATTCTATTTTATATATGTAGATAATCAATAGAAATCAGCATGGCGACCAACGTGTCAAGGAATGTGCCGAGAAAGCCGAGAAGTGTCTACGTCCGCGTAAAACAAGCGATCGCGACATGTTATTTGTCAAATGTCGAGACGAGGAAACGGTCGATTGTAGATCGCTCCTCTGAGAGAGAAAGAGAGAGAGAGAGAGAGAGAGAGAGAGAGAGAAAGAGAGAAAGAGAGAGCCCCGCTACTCGCCACTAACGTTTTCTGGGACTCGCTGCGTATCTCGACTGCTCGTGTTATGTCATGACCCTGTTGGATAGATGGCTTTATACGCATAGAACCTGTCTCCCTCTCATCGATCATTCGCTCTAGTTGCGACGTGAATACAATCCCGGAGCGATTTACCCGCCGCCTTCGATCTTGCGATTTTGCGCAAGTGGTAACGCGCGGAACAGTGAATCCCCCCGACCGTGACGACGGCGCATACCCGCACATACGTCTCCATCCCGTTTTATAGAACCATGCATGCGGAGAAGTATACGCCGCGATTAGTACTCGGCGGAGATACGAAATATCGGATACTGATTATTTGAGAAAATGCGCGCGGACCAACGGTCGCGCCCCCGATTGGCTTGTTCAATGGAGATTTTGCGAAAAATTCGGATTCTTTTACTTATCTATCTATTTTTCTAAAAGATATTATGATCGTGGATCATGATCGCCGATCTTTTCGTGTCTGCGTTCTTACTAGATCCGTGTGACTTCTCTTCTTACCCCTACATACATTGCGACCAAGAGCACTCTCTCGTGCAAGCTCCTTAGTTGTTCTGTTTCTTTGGTTTCTCTGGTGGACATGCATAATTCCAAAAAATTAAAATCCCGAAATTTGACAAGTAGAACAATGTCTCAAAAAGTCACAATTACGAAAACTGAATACCGTAAAGAAATATAATTTTTTTCGAAATATTGAAAACATGTCCTGAAAAAAATATCAAAATTCTGAAAACTGAGCGCAGGGACAATCTCTTGAAGTATCGAATGCACGAAGTTGTGTCACAAAGTTGTATCTGTCAAGTTACTGACAACTTCACGCTTTTGATATTCCGAGAGATTGTCCCTCTGTGTTCTGCGCAGTTTTCTGGATTAAGATTTTTTCGAGACAATGGGGCATGCTTTCAATATTGCGGGACAATTGTATTTGGGTATATTTTGTCCTGGCATTTAGTTTTCATGACTTTTCAGGACTTGATACCACTTTTAGAATTTCTTCTTTTTTGCAGGATTATGTTGGTCCACCGTTTCTTTCTCTCCTTTTCTCTCTGTCTCCATATCCACGATTGTGTTATGTGTGCTTCTGCAAGTGTTTTTATGTGATACTATCCATTTCGAGTGCCTCGTTGGTGTACACATTAGACCACGTTACGAGCCGTTTGGTAGGAGATATCTTTTCTTGTTTTTTTCTTAAGGTCCCTCGCGCCGCTAATGGCCAGTTTACTTATGCCTACCAGGAAAGTCTGCGGAAGGTACGTGTGTCACGACGTGTGTCTGTCAGCACCGACCGTACGTACTAAATAGCACCATAGGACCCGATCACACGATATCACGAATGTCATCCTTCGAAGCCATACATCAGTACCCCGCGCGTTACGACTCGCAGTCGCCAAGGCATCGAGAAGGTGTTCGCGCGATCTTGAACCGCGCCGTGTCGTGCGCGCGTCATCTCATCTTGTCTTTCCGCCTCACGGATTTCCGCCCCGACACGTGCGACAAGCGCGACAGATCATCGCGCGATGATCGATCGTTTCGCGTCTTACGCGTTCGTGACGAATCATCGCGAGATACCCGATCTCACCGAGCGATTTCATTTCTTTCGATTGGTCGCATCGAGACGACGATCGTCGGAGCGTGTGTCGTGCGGGAAATTGAGTACCGCAGCACGGTTTATTTGGAAGACACGCAGTACACGCCTGCGTTAACACCGTTTCGCTTTGCCGGTCGCGTGTCCGGATGATAATCGAAGTAGACAAACGGGACGGACGGTGCGCGTAGGCCGACTTGCAACGAAGAGACACTCGCTGTCGTCTAGGTAACCTAGTTACCTCCGCGACCTTATCATCCGGACAATGTGAATGAGTCCGGAGACGGATACCGTGAAGACGGACGTACGAATGACGAGGAGTGTCGCTCCTTCGAACGTTCTCTCGGAGACGTCCTCCGCGAAGTTTCACGTTGTCCAGGACACCGCGAGCGCTGTGTTTCAGGACACGACCGCCTGAAATTTCCGCGCCCGTGACACACTCCGAGCGATCCATCGAGCGTCGCGGTAGGTCGCGATCGATCACGGAGAAGAGTCACGCGGGTTCACACGCGGGGCTAAATGTCACGATCGTCCCGGGGGAGAGTCGCCAAGCTATGAGAAAGAAAGAGAGAGAGAGAGAGAGTGGGAGGAGGAGAGAAAGACAGATAGAGAGAGGCAAAGGAGAGATGCCCTTTCGCGCTGGCGCTCGTTCGCGTTTTTCGCTGAGAGGGTCGAGAACGGAATGAGAGAAAAGCGGTGGTCCGCTTTGTTGTAATTTCAGGCGAGCCTGAGCCTACCCGGCTCACCGTTCAATATACGTCGCAGCAGCCGCGGCAGCCACCAGTTCACGATACGCAATGGCCGTGGCCGATTCGTCCCGCCGGGCGGCGACCGGAAGCCCTTGGTGCTCTCCACGTACTTGGACGCTCAAGAACACCTGCCCTACGCCGACGACTCGAACGCGGTCACGCCGATGTCCGAGGAGAACGGCACGATCGTGGTGCCGGTGTACTACGCGGCGAACCTCGGCTCGCGCCACTCATCCTACACCTCGCACGCCTCGCGGCTCTCCTACACGTCCCACGCCGACCTGGCCTTCGGTAACATCCGCGGCATCGACAGCATCGGCAAGCCGATCACCAAGCAAGAGCAGATACTCAGGAACCGGACCAACAAGCAGACTACACCCGCCAACGGTCACGTTACGGACAGCAACCAGAAGTTCTATCATCATGTAAGTAGCGGGTGAATTGGATCTCGAGAGATACGCGGGGTTAGACGGTCGATAGAGAGTTGTGAAAGGTTCACGGAGATTTCGACCAGCGATATGGAAACGAGTCTAATTTCAGAGAGACACTAAAGAAATTCTTTCGTGCGCGAAAGAACAGCGTGAAAATGCTATGGTCGTGAGCGGTTTTGCGCAAGCTTCACTGAACTTTTCAGGAAACCGATCTGGAGGATCCCATGGGCAAGACCAAGCAACAAGACAATCCGTTCATCGAGCCGTCTCAACAGCACGCAGTGGTCGACATGAGGGGTAAGATCGCGAGCTAATAGCACGGTCAATGGCGGAAAGATTGCAGCACTATTACATTGAGAAAAAAAAAGAGTATCTTCACTTTACCGAAAAACAAGTTTTGACAAAATTAAAACTAAAAACAAAAGCGTCTCCCTGCTCCACTGATGATACCGCGACGGTCGCTCACCTGTCTGTCGTACCGTTCGCAGATGTGATGGTGCTGAATGACATCATCGAGCAAGCCGCCGGTCGCCAGAGCCAGACGCCGGAACAAGGAGGTAATGTCCCGCGTCCCACACCCTTTCTTCCTCGCATCTGGCAGTATCTCAAGTTTCTTCTTCTGCCGTTTTTTTTCTCTTTTTTTTTTTTCTTCAATTATGTTCGTCCCTATCGCAGTTGTGTATATTATCTGGTTTATCGTGTGATGAGCATCATGTCGTGTTCGATGTACATTATCGTTGGGACCTCTGGTATACTGCGTCTCTCCCTGCGTCGTCGTCGTTGGTATACCTCGCTGGACATTCTTGGGCTGCGCGCCTCTTGTACATAGTTAGTTCGAAGGAGTTCTTTTTTCTGTTGAACTTTTCCAGCCGACGCAGCCAATGTGAGGTCACACTGCGGTGTATTTCTTTTACTCTTTTGTCTTTCGTTTCACGACTCGAGCATGGTGTAAACGTGTGTAAATCGACGCGATACGACACATACACGATGGACCGATCTACCACTGTTTCTTAAAACGATCGCCACTGTCGTACACAACCCGGCCGAGTGGATTTAGACGGCGAGTAATGTAAAAGTGCGCAAGGATCTTGTCTCGCGCTATGCGACGTGATGCGACGAGACAGAGTTCGCAAATCGCGGGCCTTCGAGGGCGGTTTGTGAGAATATTTTTGGGGAAACAGAGTTTGTTCGTTTCCTACGACATGACACAGATTACCACCTTCGCCGCAGCTGCACGATTACTGGTCGCTTCATGCTTGGATTTTCTTTTCAGATTGTCTCAATCGTCGATATATTTCTAAAAAATATATACTATTTTCTCTGTGTAATTACTCACGTTAAACTCGCTAAACGCTTGAGTTACCAGAACGTTTCTGTGAATTTTGTGATATTTCTGTTTAATAATATATCTCGGTCAGAATTCACTTCGTAAATTATAAGATTGCGGTAAAGTTGTACATCTTATAGATGAATATTGAATGAATATCTTCTATTTTTCATCGCGATGATTGAGAGATCCTGTTTGTCCTTTATTTCCGATAAGAAACTGCAGCGATTTTGGTTGGTCCTTCGATACCTCTGCACCCGCATCATCGCGTCGAAAAGCACTATCGTGTTTTGTCTCTGATGCACATCACGACAAAATCTACTACATTCGGAATTAGAGAGGGATGTCTTGTAGCGTGTCTTCGCGAAGGATACTCGACGCGATTCCATCGCGCTACCAGTTTTTGCACGCCAAGTTGAAAATCGTATCTTTCGCGCGCCTGCAAATTTTATCGTCACAGCCACACTCGCGAAAACTGAACTCATATTCTATCTATTTCAATGACCGTGCTTGGTTTGAGATGTATAGCCGTGTATGGATATCGTTTGTTAACTGCATCTCACTGTCGAGTGTTCGATTTGGAGGATCTCGCGTATTTATATTTGCGCTTGGCTACTCGATCGCTTGGCTACTCGATCGATCGCTTACGCGTAACATTTAATCCTTCCGCCGCAGAAACGCATCCTCCTCAGGAGCTGATCCCAGGCCAGATTCTGTATATTCCGCAAGTTCATACTTTTAAATAATTATAATGGTTTATGTGACGGGATCGAGTCGAAGAAAGAAATAATCGAACCATCGCGAAGTGTTTCTGTAACGGCGGAAGAGTTAAAGCTGTAAAATGTGAAGTAAAATCGCTGTAAATAATGTTACGTCGCGCCGCGCATTTTCTCGCGCCGTTGGTGCACGATGACACTTGTTTCAACTGTTCGATCACTTTTTTTTATTTTTCCAGTCACCGGCTTTCGCGAGTTTTGTTAAAACACATCCGCACACACCATACGAGGCACATCGAACGCTACGCTGTTTATCGTGCCAGGCTATCGAATGACGCGCGTTTTTTCTAAATAAAATATTCATGAGAATGTTCTATCCTTTCCTCTTTAAATTTACACAGATGCAACGCCCATGCAACGATACCGGTATTTTACACAGCGTGGCGTTAGATATTTATCTCCACTGAGATTTACGCAATCCATTACTCGGAATGTGTGTGCTTCTCTTAATTTCGCCTCGCCTCGCTTCACTTCGCCTCGCCTTCTACCTGCTTGCCTTCCTACCGTCACTTGTTTGCCCGCTTGCCTGCCTGTAATATAATCTGTGATCTCGAAGAATGAGCCTGACCAAAGAAAAACCTCTTTCCCCAAAAAGAGTGGTGCCAGACAAAATTACTAACGCGCGTTACAGTTTCGACCTATTACTTTCCGACAGACGACGATGAAGAAGGGCCTACGATGAAGGACAAGTTATTGGCCGGAATGTACCGTTGTATCGACATTTTTTGCGTCTGGGACTGCTGTTGGCTCTGGCTCGAGTTTCAAAAGTACGTGTCCTTGTTGGTCTTTGATCCGTTCGTAGAGCTCTTCATTACACTTTGCATCGTCGTCAATACGCTCTTTATGGCGTTGGATCACCATGACATGGACAAAGACATGGAGAGGGTACTCAAAACTGGCAATTACGTAAGTACCATTGCAGTAAAATGGATATATATATATATATATATATATATATATATATATATATATATATATA